TCACAAATAGACTATATGCCTAGGGTTTAGCAAACAAACAAAAAACCAATGTAATAAGGAAAAAGGGAGCAAGAATTTTTTAATAGCTAATATCAGACTAAATACCACTAATTGTGGTAAGAACATTTAACATGAGATCTATACTCAACAAAATTTTAATTGTACACTACAGTATTGTTAATTATAGGCATGATGTTATACAGAAAATCTCTAGAACTTACTCATCTTGCATAATTTAAACTTTATACACATTGAATAGCAACTTTCCGTATCTCTCCTTTTCCTCCCAGCCCCTGGAAACCACCATTCTATTCTCTCTAAGTTTGACTATTTTACATACTTCGTGTGAGTAAAATCATGCAGTATTTGTCCTTCTGTGACTGGCTTATTTCACTTAGCATAATGTTCTACCGGTTAATCCACATTGTTGCACATGACAGTATTTCCTTCTTTTTAAAGGCTGAATGATACTCCATTGTGTGTATATACCACATTTTCTTCACCATCCATTCATCTATTGATGGACTTTTAGGTTGTTTCCATGTCTTGGCCATTGTGAATGAACAGAGGAATGGAGATATCATTTTGAGATCCTGATTTCAATCCCTTCTGCTACTGATTTCTAGTTTTATTCCATTGTGGTCGGGAAATACAGTTGGTATGATTTCATTCTTCTTAAGTTTGCTAAGACTTGTGAACTAACGTATGATCTATCCTGGAGAATATCCCGTGTGCAATTGAGAAGAATGTATATTTTGTGGTTGTTTGGTGGAATATCCTGTAAATGTCTGTTAGGTCCATTTCACCTCTAGTGTTGTTTAATTCTGCTGTTTCCTTATCTATTTTCTGTCTGGGTGATCTATCCATTATTGAAAGAAGATTATTGAAAGCTCCTACTATTATTGCATTGCTGTCTATTTCCCCCTTCAGTTCTGTCAATGTTTGCTTTATATATTTAGATGCTCTGATGTTCAGTGCATTTATAATTGTTGTATCTTCCTGAGGAATTGACCCTCTTATCATTATATAATGACCTTCTTTGTCTCCTGTGATACTTTTTAACTTAAAGTCTATTTTGTCTGATGTAAGAATAGCCATTTGCTCTCTTATGGTTACCATTTGCATGGATTATCTTTTTCCATTTTTCACT